GACTGCCACCATACTGGATGAGGCCCAAAGAGAGGATGTTCCTTTGGAAGGATTGAAAACAACAACGTTGATTAGATAATTCACAATTCTATTGTTTTCATCCTCTAACATGCCAAAGTCAACACGTAACAGAAATGATCATTTGCAGTTGAGGCAGGTGTGAGCTTAGTACTGATACCTGTATCTGTTAAAAGCTGAGTTAAAGGAGAATTACACCATTTTTAAGCACAGTTTCATCATTAAGATGCAAAAAAGTAGTCTGATACGAAATGTTCCACTGTGGAAAAACTTACAGAGTCAGAGTTGTTCACAGTGGCAGTGACAAGAACCAGGCGTTTGAAGAGTTCAATGCCTCTAATCTCTCTCACAGAGAATTATTACATGAAATGATTATTAATCAGCGCTAAACTCTATTAGAGCATGTTTACCACATGCTTTATGCTATAAATTGTAGGGCTCTGAGACTTGCAGTATTACACATTAAAGCACCGTGAAGAAGTAAATTCATCAATATTGATACAGTGTTGGTGATATTGCCATATCGATATTTTGAACACAGCTGTAATGGCAAATAACATATTAATAAATTGAATGAACAAAGTGCAGATATTTGAGTACTGTAACCCAGCTTTACCTAAACATTCTGCTCTTCTGTATTACCATAAATACTTCATGAAATATATTTGTTTGAAATACCCATGAAATCTAAACATTTGTCTGACATTCATATAGTTTTATTTAAAAAATTAAAACTTGAGTCTCACCAGTTGCTCAGCTTCAGATGATTTCTGATGAGAAACATCTAAAACAAAACAGACACATGAGGTAAATGCAGCAAAACAATAACAGCAAAGCATAACAATGAACTTAAACACAAAACAAACTGGTCATTATATATTACTAATAAATGTAGCCGAGTAAAACATAGATTATTAATATAAAGCACAAATAATACATTTTAAAAATACTCTAGAAAGTACAAGTCCAAGACGTTACTAGAGTAAATGTAACTGAGCAAATTAAAATCATTACTACCCTCTCTGAGCTACACAGACTGACGGACTGTGTTCAGTTTCACTGTTGTATTGTTCAGTGTGCTGACCCTGCTGCGCTGTGATCAGTGCGCTGACCCTGCTGCACTGTGATCAGTCTTAGATTTAATTCTGAGGCAGCCTTTCATTTGTTCCAGCTACCTCAATGCTTCAACTGACTGATTCTGCTGCACACTAGCATAACATCTCACCTGTCCATCCTCCAAACCTTATGAGCCTCCATGGCTGCACTGCTGGGTGAGACAGCTGTACAGAGCTGAAGCTGGGCGGTATGGTTACAGTGCGCTGCTGGGATGAGACAGCTGTACAGAGCTGAAGCTGGGCGGTATGGTTACAGTGCGCTGCTGGGATGAGACAGGTGTACAGAGCTGAAGCTGGGCGGTATGGTTACAGTGCACTGCTGGGACGAGACAGCTGTACAGAGCTGAAGCTGGGCGGTATGGTTACAGTGCGCTGCTGGGTGAGACAGCTGTACAGAGCTGAAGCTGGACAGTCACTGTGTTTACAGTGCGCTGCTGGGATGAGACAGCTGTACAGAGCTGAAGCTGGGCGGTATGGTTACAGTGCGCTGCTGGGTGAGACAGCTGTACACAGCTGAAGCTGGGCGGTATGTTAACAGTGCGCTGTTGGGTGAGACAGCTGTACAGAGCTGAAGCTGGGCGGTATGTTAACAGTGCGCTGCTGGGTGAGACAGCTGAACAGAGCTGAAGCTGGGCGGTATGGTTACAGCGCGCTGCTGGGTGAGACAGCTGTACAGAGCTGAAGCTGGGCGGTATGGTTACAGCGCGCTGCTGGGTGAGACAGCTGTACACAGCTGAAGCTGGGCGGTATGGTTACAGCGCGCTGCTGGGTGAGACAGCTGTACACAGCTGAAGCTGGGCGGTATGGTTACAGTGCGCTGCTGGGTGAGACAGCTGTACACAGCTGAAGCTGGGCGGTATGGTTACAGTGCGCTGTTGGGTGAGACAGCTGTACAGAGCTGAAGCTGGGCGGTATGGTTACAGCGCGCTGCTGGGTGAGACAGCTGTACAGAGTTGAAGCTGGGCAGTATGGTTACAGTGCGCTGTTGGGTGAGACAGTTGTACAGAGCTGAAGCTGAACGGTCACTGTGTTTACAGTGCACTGCTGGGATGAGACAGCTGTACAGAGCTGAAGCTGGGCGGTATGTTTACAGTGCGCTGCTGGGTGAGACAGCTGTACAGACCTGAAGCTGGGCGGTATGTTTACAGTGCGCTGCTGGGTGAGACAGCTGTACAGAGCTGAAGCTGGACGGTCATTGTGTTTACAGTGCACTGCTGGGTGAGACAGCTGTACAGAGCTGAAGCTGGACGGTATGTTTACAGTGCGCTGCTGGGTGAGACAGCTGTACAGAGCTGAAGCCGGGCGGTATGGTTACAGCGCGCTGCTGGGTGAGACAGCTGTACAGAGCTGAAGCCGGGCAGTATGTTTACAGTGCGCTGCTGGGTGAGACAGCTGTACACAGCTGAAGCTGGGCGGTATGGTTACAGTGCGCTGCTGGGTGAGACAGCTGTACAGAGCTGAAGCCGGGCGGTATGGTTACAGCGCGCTGCTGGGTGAGACAGCTGTACAGAGCTGAAGCTGGACGGTCACTGTGTTTACAGTGCGCTGCTGGGATGAGACAGCTGTACAGAGCTGAAGCTGGGCGGTATGTTTACAGTGCGCTGCTGGGTGAGGCAGCTGTACAGAGCTGAAGCTGGGCGGTATGGTTACAGTGCGCTGCTGGGTGAGACAGCTGTACAGAGCTGAAGCTGGACGGTCATTGTGTTTACAGTGCACTGCTGGGATGAGACAGCTGTACAGAGCTGAAGCTGGGCGGTATGGTTACAGTGCGCTGTTGGATGAGACGGCTGTACAGAGCTGAAGCTGGACGGTCATTGTGTTTACAGTGCGCTGCTGGGTGAGACAGCTGTACAGAGCTGAAGCTGGGCGGTATGTTTACAGTGCGCTGTCTCAGTAAGGAGTGTAAGAGAGTCTTATCAGGTTTAACACTCGCTAAACAAACTCGATAAACTGCCCGCGTCAGCGACCTGAGAGACTCGCTCACTGTAAACGGCTGTAATGGCCGCGTTTGGCTTTAAACGGAGGAATGGCGGAGAGCGCTCGCGCTTCAAAACCGAACGTCCAAGAGGCGGAGTCCCGCGCTCTGATTGGTCTGAAACTCCCGCCAGTCTTTTGTTTGTCCTCCCATAGATCTTTTTTTCTGATTCGCGCCTCTCTGTACTGAATGAACTGTGCTGTTTTGTTTTTGTTTGTTTGTTTGTTTGTTTTAATCTAGACACAGAGTAGAAAACTGCAAACTCTTGAAATACACGAGACAGCTGTACAGCATTATTTTACAAAGCATCACTGGAGGCCATGTCTTAATATATTAAAGTCAAAGTATGAAGTTGGACATTTAAACAAAAATCTGTTTATGTTGTAATTTTACATGGTGAAACAATACAGATCTTTATATAACTACTCAAATACATTTGTTTATTATTGTTTGTGTTTTCCAAATACCTGGAGATAATAATTTTGAAAGTTATACATGGTATATTAAAAAGTTTGTTCTCTTTTTCTGTTGGGCCAAATTAAAAGTCCTAATGGTCTAACTTTGGGCAGCCCTGATCTGCTTAAGAAAATAAACAGAAGTGTAGATGTTGAAGAGAGTGAACCAGGGGCTTTTTCTGCATTAAGTTTTGGTGGTATGTGATCTCTAAAGTACTCAGGTTAGCTGTTAAGTACATTTACGTCCTATTAGCTCAAAGTTGTTTTATCTTGGTTCCTAGCTTGTTGTCTCTGGTTACCACTGTACATTTGAAAATAGATCAATGTTGTGTTAATCATAGCATGTTTTCTGCAAATGAGCCAAAGGCTGTGAGTGACTGTGATTGTAACATTTACCAATGGAGATAAATCAAAAGTTATTCTACCATGAACTTCAATGATATAAGGAAATGAGTGTAAACATTTTAAGGTAAGGTAAATGGTTTAAGAATTGATTTTATCTTTTGCTGTTTTGCTACTGTAAACATATTTCTGCAATAATCAAAAGTACAGTAAGTACACTAAGTAAAACCTTAGTGAATGTTCTTTTATTAATATCAAACAAAAACCATAAGATTACAGCAGGCTGTTTCTTGAGGACATACTTATATTCTCTCTTATATTGTTATATTCTCATTATAGTCTACATTAGGCAGTGCTGTGGTAATCCTGGTATTCCTCAGTAGTAATTTTCAGTTTGGCAGTATCACAGGAATACCACATTCATGCCACAGGACCTTTTTTAATGGACCACTGAACTGTCTTAAGACACAACATCTCTATGTCTTAAGACAAAGTGATGTCTTAAGTCATGCCTCGTCTTCAACACACACAAAATAATTACTTCTTTGTCTTAAGACGTGAACTTTCATGTCTCAAGACAAAGACAGTGTCTTCACTCACACGTCTTAAGACGTTCTTGAGATGTCTTGGCATAAAACAATGTCTCAAGACATCTTATAAACACTGTCAAGACATCTTAAGACACAGTGACAGCTGAGTATGTTGTGGTAGCCAAACATTCAGAACATTCCAGTGTGTAAAACATCACACACTGCTTATGACTGATGTACTATTACTGCTTATTACTGACTCACTACTACTGCTTATTACTGACTCACTGCTACTGCTCATTACTACTGACTACTGCTGCTTGTTACTGATTTAGCACTACTGCTTGTTACTGACTCACTACTACTGCTTATTACTGATTTACTACTACTGCTTATAACTACTGACTACTACTGCTTATTAATGATTTAGTACCACTGCTCTGCTGTTTATTAGACCTACTACTACTGCTTATTGCTGATTGTCTCTAATGCTTACAACAATCGAGTTAAACGTTTCTGTGTGTGTGTGTGTGTGTGTGTGTGTGTGTGTGTGTGTGTTCTTTAGGGTGGACCATGGAGGGACAATCAGGATGAAACCAGGACTGAAGAAATGTAAGATAAACACAAACACACTCTACCTATGTGTTTTTCTCCTCTAACCTCTCTCCTCTAACCTCTCTCCTTGTGTGTTGACGTTTCTCCTCTAATCTCTCTTCTTTTGTGTTGTGTTTTCTCCTCTAATCTCTCTCCTTGTGTGTTGATGTTTTCTCCTCTAATCTCTCTCCTTGTGTGTTGATGTTTTCTCCTCTAATCTCTCTCCTTGTGTGTTGATGTTTTCTCCTCTAATCTCTCTTCTTTTGTGTTGTGTTTTCTCCTCTAATCTCTCTCCTTGTGTGTTGATGTTTTCTCCTCTAATCTCTCTCCTTGTGTGTTGATGTTTTCTCCTCTAATCTCTCTTCTTGTGTGTTGATGTTTCTCCTCTAATCTCTCTCCTTGTGTGTTGATGTTTCTCCTCTAATCTCTCTTCTTTTGTGTTGTGTTTTCTCCTCTAATCTCTCTCCTTGTGTGTTGATGTTTCTCCTCTAATCTCTCTTCTTGTGTGTTGTGTTTTCTCCTCTAATCTCTCTCCTTGTGTGTTGATGTTTCTCCTCTAATCTCTCTCCTTGTGTGTTGATGTTTCTCTTCTAATCTCTCCTTTTGTGTTGTGTTTTCTCCTCTAATCTCTCTTCTTGTGTGTTGATGTTTCTCCTCTAATCTCTCTCCTTGTGTGTTGATGTTTCTCCTCTAATCTCTCTTCTTGTGTGTTGATGTTTCTCCTCTAATCTCTCTCCTTGTGTGTTGATGTTTCTCTTCTAATCTCTCCTTTTGTGTTGTGTTTTCTCCTCTAATCTCTCTTCTTGTGTGTTGATTTTTCTCCTCTAATCTCTCTCCTTGTGTGTTGATGTTTCTCCTCTAATCTCTCTTCTTGTGTGCAGATTCCTGTAAGCTCACTCTGGATCCAAACACAGCACACATACTTCTCTCTCTGTCTGATGGGAACAGAAAGGTGCTGTTGGCGAATGAGCAGCAGCCGTATTCTGATTTTCCAGAGAGATTTGTTCATCATCCACAAGTACTGTGCAGAGAGAGACTGACTGGACGACATTACTGGGAGGCAGAGTGGGATTTGTGGGTTGCTGTAACAGTGACTTATAAAACAATTGGCAGGAAAGGAGATACTGACAGTATGTTTGGATACAGTAGAAATTCCTGGTGTCTAGTCTGCAGAAATGAAAATTATATTGTCCGACACAATAACAAACACATCTACATTCCTAGGCCCCCGTCAAACAGAGTAGGAGTGTATGTGGACTATCCAGCTGGCACTCTGTCCTTCTATAGCATCTCCTCTGATACACACACACTGACACACCTACACACATTCAGAACCACATTCACTGAACCGCTTTATGCAGCGTTTGGGTTTTGGCTTTTACTTCCTGACTCCTCGGTGTGTTTATGTGAGATAGAATAACCTTCCACATGTGTGTTAAATAGCTTAAAGATTTTAAAGCTTAATTGTTTGCCCTCCAGTTGGTGTCCCCATTGAGTGTGCATTTGAGAGATGTCCACAGTTTTATTTTTATTTAGGCAAGTGCAAACATGCGCACGCACACACACACACACACACACACACACAAATTTAATATCTCTCGAATCTGTGTGTGATATGTAAGTGATAATACACATAATTTGATTTTAGCTCACTTTATAGTACTACTAATTTAATTCATAGATACAGATAAGATCCTTTCACTGTTACATCGATGACTGAAAGCTCTATATTCCACTGAGAGCTGGTAGTCAGAGCTTAAAGAGGATTAAAGTGGTCAGTGTGTTGTGGATGTTAAAATTTAGACAACCAGTCATTGACGTCAAACAACAACGTTAACATTTCTAGGACTCTTGGGCTCTTTTACTCCTCATATCATGATACATCCCTAAAATCTCAGGATAATTTTTGGCCCAGAGATCAAATTTCAAGAACAATTTAAGGCAGTTAATTAGATCTGATTTTTCAGCTCTGAAGTATGCAAGATCTAAAAAAGTCATCCATATCTATCATACACTGCAGATATGCTTGGACATGCTCTGCTTCTAGACCCTTAAAGTCTTCCTCCCACTGCTGACTGTTCTTCAGTCCAGCTAAAGCTGAAGGATGATCATGGTTTAGTGAATGCTGGTCAGAGACTCTGGAACAGTCTATCAGTTCATCTCAGACATGTTTCATCTTTTTATTATTTAAATTGAACCTATAAACATTTTGTATTTCTGTATGTGTTAATGTCTCTATATCAGATCAATGGATGGAATGAATAAATAAGTAGAAAAGCACAGTACTTTGATCATTATCTGATTTAAATGTACATTATAGATAAATGTTAGCCATGTACTTATTGATTTGTTCATATTTTTTCAGGTGTAAACAAAACACACAGTTTCTCATTTTTAATGTGACAGTAGCACCAAGCTAGCGGTGGTGTACATTTATTTTCTCACAATTTTGCACAAAGTGTTGCTCAATCTCTGAGAATGGGACTGTTAATCAGTATTGTGATTAGTGAGAGTGCATCTAATTATTTACAGGGCCTGATTTTGACTTTATCCTCACAAATCCAACATTATACAATCATGGATTTAGGTTCCCTGGAGTTTTAATGTCTGTGCATGTATCCAAAATACTGATGATGAAAACACATACTCTATAGAATCATCACTTAATGGTTTTCTCTTTTTGTGCCTTTTATAAATCTATAGTGTAAATACAACAAATACCAATTCCAAAAAAGGTGGGACGCTGATTGATTTGTAAATCTCATAGACCCATATTTTATTCACAATAGAACAGAGAACACATATCAGATGTTGAAAGAGAGACATTTTACCATTTCTTCAAAAACATTAACTCATTTAGAACTTGATGGCAGCAACGCATCTCAAAAAAGTTGCTACACAATGGTAGACATGACCCTGTCCCAAATTTTTTGAGATGCATTGCTGTCATCAAGTTATAAATGTAATTATAAATGTTTTTATAATAACTGTGTATAAGAATTGTTTATTTCTGTCAAAACTGATTTAATGAAGCACAATTAAAAACATTATAATAATTTTGTGATGTGCTTCAAGTTATGTTTACAATACACTGTGCTATGATAAATCTGTATTAGGAAAAGTGTCATACAATGGGATATTGGTTCTATCAGTATATTTACACTCTTTGTGATGAATGTGATGTTAAAGCTATACTACAACTCACCCAGCTTGAGGGAAAAGGCTGATTTACTAATAATGACAAGTAAACTTTATAACAAGCTAATTTGAAAAAGTATACTGTAGAAAAAAATATCCCAGACTCCCATAGGATTTACTATAATCAAATAACTAATCCATGATAATGTGAAGCTTTAACAAATGCACAATGTAAATAAAAATATGATGCAATGGTATGCAAATCATGTAAACCACATTTTAAAAGGTAAATACTACAAAGACAACAAATCAAATGCTGAAACTGAGAAAATTATGTTTTCTCAGTTTCAACATTTGATATTGTATTTAACCCCGTCCCAACTTTTTGGAGTGTGTTGTTGGCACCAAATTCAAGATGGGCATTTATTTTTCAAAGACAATACAGTTTCTCAGTTTTAACATTTGCTGTGTTGTCTCTGTACTGTTTTCAATCAACTATAGGGTTTAAATGATTTGCACATCATTACATTTTATTATTATTTACATTTTACACATCATCCCAACTTTTTTGGAAATATGGATGTAAAACATACATATGTGTTTCGCATATACATCATATTTTATAATGTTTAACAATTCTTAAAACAATGTGTTTTGTTGACAGTTAAACTTTCCATCTTTTAATAAATCTCATCTATTAATAAATGGCATTTAAAACAGCTTCTGTCTGTTCATTCATATGTTAAAAGTCACATGAAATGTCCTTCACAAAGTCCATGCTTATATACTGTGGGGGAGGGCAGCTCCGTCAAAGTGCACCTATATGGTAGGTATTTCTAATAATTGGATAATGAGTATGAATATGTAATGTGGTGTGTTCAGTAGTTTCTGCATCCCTTATAGCAGACTATTACAACCCTATTTCCAAAACAGTTGGGACGCTGTGCAAAATGTAAATAACAACAAAGTGCAATGAGGTACAAATCATTTAAACTAAAAATTAAAAATAGTACAAGACAACATATCAAATGTTGAAACTGAGGAATTTTATTGTTTTTTGAATAATATTTGCCCATTATGAATTTGATGCCATATTGGGACGGGGGCAACAAAAGGATGCTAAAGTTGTGTAATACTAAAAATAACACCTTGTGGCTGATTGGCAACAAGTCAGTAACAAGATTGGGTGTAAAAGATCATCTCAGAGAGGCGGAGTCTTTCAGAAATAAAGATGAGGAGGGGTTCACCACTCTGTGAAAGACTGCACCATCAAATAGTGCAACAATTCAAGAAGAATGGTTCTCAATATAAAATAGAAAACAACTTTTGCTTTTCATCATCTACGGTACATAATAACATTAAAAGATTCAGAGAATCTGTGTTAACACTAGGTTAAAAGCCAAAAAGCAATAATTATTCACATTTATTTGTTTACACCATGTGTGAAAAGGTATACGGACGCCCCTTTCTAATGAGTGAATTCAGTTACTTTAAGGTCACTCATTGCAGACACAGGAGTTCAGTTACCCACACAGCTATAAAGTCAAATAGAAAAGTACTGAGTAATAGAATTGGACGCTCTGGAGCAGCTGCACATGAGCATAAGGGGTATAAAGCAACAATAAGGGGGCAAAGTCTCTCTAAATACCTTATTTACCTGTTATGTAGATACAGTCGATGCATACATGCAACAACAGTTTATAAACAAGCTTATATGACTCAAACAAGATTTCTCTGGAAGAGATGTGTTTAACACCAGGTGTGTGATGTCACTGTCCTGCAGTCCTGCCTGATGCTGTGCTTTCCTGCTCTCTAACACATCAAACCTTTTGGTGGGTACATTACTAACCCTTTAGTTCAGTAATGAATACATTTAATGAGTCAGGAAAGTAGAGAAAGACACCTGTTCTTTTCCTGCTGATTCTTTCTGAATCAGTCATCTTACTAAATAAAGACTACAGAAGTATAATGAATTACATTATGTTACCATAATCACATTGTATTAAAGCCTATTGATTAAAAGCGTTTAAATAAAATTACACACAAGAATAAACAGAACAGAATCTGCACTTCTATGTTTATTATCTGACCATCAATTACTCCAGTTTCCACATGATAATCTACTCCATTGCTGAAATTGTTGAGTGTACCCAGAAGGATAAGCGGTTTAGATGATCTATGTATGTATGTATGTATTTAGTCAAAGAATATGTCAGTTTTTCAAATTGACATAATTCAGTCTTAATAACAGAATAAACGTGGTGTACACTGAGTTATCCTAGGCTTATGGACTACTTACATTCATGACTTATTTAGAAACATATGCACTGTAAAAATTGTAATGTAGTGTGGTATCTAGAGCTCTGTGTGTTATCTGTTTTTGCAGGTTTGGAATGTTAAAGTTAGGGGCCCCTGGTCCAAAGGTCCAAGGGTCAAGACCCCATAGGGAATGGGCCCCTTTCCCTTCCTCTCCCTTCCTCTCTTAGTTCCAGATGGATGAGATCATTTTAAAAAGGACCATATGTTCTGTTCCCTTTTTCAAAAACAACCACTCTATATAAGCAGTTGGCTATACTGTTCTGGAGGGGACACTTCAGAATTGACACGGATCCCCTCTCAGGTACTTTATGGTGCTTGATGTGATACTGTTTTACTTTGTAATAAACATCTTATTTAAAGTATTTACCATGACCATATCTGGATTAAGCAGTCAAGAAGATGATGATGATTTAAAGTATTGTAAGACAAATTAAGAGAGCTGTCTATTATTTCTAGATATTAAAAGTTAGACAGCATGAAGACCTTCAGGTTTCTGGCAACTAACATTTCCCAAGACCTGAAGTGAGAGACCAACATTAACTCCATCCTCAAAAAGGCCCAGCGGAGGATGTTTTTTCTGCAACAGATGAGGAAGTTGGGTTGCCACAGGAGCTGCTGAGCCAGTTCTGCACCACAGTCATTGAATCTGTCCTGCGCACATCCATCATGGTCTGGTTCAGAGCCACAAAACAGGACAAGAACAGACTGCAAATAATGGTAAAGTCAGCTGAAAAATCCACCCTTCAGGACTTTTCAAGAACCAGGAAACAGGCAGGGAAAGTCATTACAGACTCCTCACACTCTGGACACCCTTTTCAACACCTTTGCGCCGGCTGGCGCTACAGAACCCACTAAGCTTGTCAGACACAGGAGCAGCTTCTTTCCTCAGGCCATCACCCATAAATAATATGGCCAGTAATATCATCTGCTGGGCCAGAGCTGCTCCTGTCTTCTGCAGAGAGTTATTACACCCTGATTCAGACTCAGACTATTGTGCACCACAATTACATTCCTATACGTGATGTAGATCACTGTTGTTTGCACTACCACACACACACTTATGTTTAAATTTCCAAAAAGAAATTCAAATATTGATTTGTCAGAC